AGTACCATGTTTCTCCTACTTCCAACAAACATAGTTTGTTCTGTCTATTCTCTCTAGACCTTCCTTGACCTTCTTCCAAGCCCCTTTAATTCCTGACCATATATTAGACCCTAGACGATCAAGTTGTATTGAAGGAAGGAGATCAGACCTGCATTTATATTTTACATGAATGACCCAAACCTAGAGATCATTTGACTTTTTAACTAGGTGCTAACCTAGTTTTATCATATATGCTTAGTTCTCTATTTTGGCATTCTTTATCCCCTGCCCACCATGCTTCTTACTCTCACACACTTGGTTCCAGGCAATCAAGTAGGTCTTGCAAGCCTCCTCCATGGTGCCCTTGATAAAGTCTCTGTTCCATCTATCCAGCATTTCACAAGTCCTAGCTGGTAATTGAGAGGTTTGTGCTGTGAAACCTAGAATAGCAATAGTAATGAAAGCAGCTAATGTCACTCTACCTACCGTTAAGAGTGCATAAGCCTTCCAATTCAATAGTCTCTTCTTCACTTTTTCTATAACTTTACTAAAATAATCCTTGCCAACACGTTTGCTATACAAAGGAACTCTTATATATTTTCCTAGATCATCCGTTCTCTTGAACCCTTAAGAAGATCTCAGTTCCTTACATCTATAGTTGTGAATATTATTTGAGAAGAAGATTATGGTTTTGGTAGCATTCACCTTCACGCCATAACGCTCATAGAAAGTGTCAAGACAATTTTTAATAATAGTAAATCAAGTCATAAAAGCTTTTGCAAACAAAAAATATCATCAACAAACAATAAATAAGAGATTGGTGGACCAGTCTTACCTAACTTATGGGTTTCCACTCGAATACCTTTATCTCTTGTCGCATAACATAACCAAGCCATTCAATATAAATAACAAATATGCACGACAAGACTAGGTCTCCTTCTCGAACCTTACTTGTAGGCGTGAACGAATCCATTTTCATACAATTCCACAATTGCATAGATGTAAAAGAGACACAGCTCTTAATCATGGTGACTATATGAGTTGGCAGTTGAAGATCTTCAAGACACATGGCTACAAAGTTCTAATTCAGGCAGTCATATACTTTTTCGAGGTCAATTTTTAGAGCCATAAAAGTTTCCTTCCTTGCATGGATCTCACAAAATGAATATCTTCTTGAGCCACAACAATATTATCAAAACTATGTCTATCAAGAACAAAACTGCACTGATAAAGAGAGATAATGTCAGGTGGTAAAATGTCTTTCATATACACCTAGTAATTATCTTTGTAAGTACCTTACACCACATTGTATAGATCGATTGTAACACACCAAATTTTTTTTATCAATAATTTCAAAATATTTTATAATTGGCTTAAACTCGCACAATACAACATTTCAGATAAATTTTTACCTCCCACATGCCACTAGGCTAAATCACATTTGTCCATCCTTATACTCCCAACAAGTAAACTAAATCACATTTGTCCATCCTTATACTCCCAATAAGTAAAATAAACAATTTAGTCAATTTTTAACACAAGCCAGTTATTTGGCCTCATAATCATGCCATTTTAACCAATCCAAAGTAAATCAAATATTAAAATTACAGTCATCCAAAGTATACCAAAAATAGAAATAGTTTGAAAGGCATGATTACATTTATATATTCATATGATTGTCAATAAACAAAAAACCCTAATATTGGTAATATAACACATTATAAATCATAAATTAAATACCCAAAAGAGACAGTGGATCTATACCACTAAGCCTCTGGGACTCCTCCATGTGTCACTCGTGGTTCTTATCCTGAAAATTGTTAACCACATAATGAGACTCAAAAGTCCCAGTAACCAAAGCCAATTTATGATAGTATATACAAACAGTTAAGTGTGTGCTTATTAAGTGAGAATTAAAAATAATATAATTCCAACAAATATAAGAAATATTATAATACACACAAATAACCACCTTATATCCCTCCATTAACCTCGAGCCGTAACCCTCACTCGGTGCTAAATTACCCGACCAAAGGTAGATTAGCTCGAGCCCTTACAAACCACCTATTGAGCTCCAATAGGGGCGTACCACGTGGCACATAAATACAACAACAATAGCAAGTCTCCCAACACCTCCCACAATAATCAAACAAATTCATAATAATATTGCACAATATATAATATTAAAAAAATTCATAATTTTCTCAATAATCACCCAATTAACATGAAGTAACACTAATCATAAATTAAAAGCATGGTTACCTTGTGGCTTTTTCAATAAATTATTCCTTATAATTTCTCTCCCACCACAATCTTCAACAATAATACAATCTACAAATAACATATTATTTATAAATATTAGTTTCAATTTTTGAAACTAATAAAATAATTCTAATAATAGAATTAAAAATGTAACATAATTTCTAATCTCAATTTTAATACAAATCTAGAGTTAATACTATTAAGTAAAATTTTTAACTCCTCTTTTAATTATTAATAAACATTAATAATCTAAAAATTAGCTTCTAAACTAATTTCTATTATCAAAATTTTCTTTTTATTTCATAAATTCGTACCTAAAATACTCAAAAATTAAAAATTGAGTCTCTAGCTTAGAATCATAATCCTTTAACCATAATAATTCATTTCTCATCCCAAATAATCATCTAAATCTCAATAAATCAACATATATTTTCAGATCTAGTTTAGAATTTGATCCATAAGCCACAAATTCAAAGATCATCCACAAATTTATACCCTAGAACATTTATTATACTACTGACAATCTCAAAAATCATATTTATTCAACATAAATTCATCCCTCTTTCAGATCTTAAATTTTCTACCACTATAAACTCAGAAACTAAAGAAGAAGGATGACTAAAAAAAAATTTTAGAACACTTACTTAGTCTTGAAAAGCTTAAAATCACACCCTAAATATCCTATTAAAAACTCTTACCTTAAAACCCAGCACCGGTGAACTTGGCTCACAGACGCTCTTTCTGCCTCAGCTCACGCACGAAGAAAAGAATGAAGAAATGAAAAAAACATGTGAGTTTTTATAAAAAATTCAGTGGGTCTCACATCTTTTTTTTATTATTTCTTCTTTCCTCTCTCCCCCTTTTTTTATTATTATTATATACATAATCATTGCATTGCACCTCGCATTTTCTTCCTTCTTTCTTTCTTCTTTCTCATACCTTTTCTCTTTCTTTCTTTTTATAATAATAATAATAATTTAATAATATTTTATTTATTTATTTTTTTAATTAATTTTTTTAATTTAGAATTATATCCTAAATTAGATTTAATAATTATTTTCTATTAATTTGCTTATCTCAAAATATTTTTTAAAATTTTTATTAACTTAAATTAATTATTAAAATTTAAATTGGAATGTTACACCAATAGGATGGAGATCCCTATCAGTTTCAGGTGGGTCCCTTTTGGAAATAATGACAAGGGGAGTATTATTAATTTCTGCAATATCCTGACAGACGAAGAAACAAGTTCTTGACAAGTTTACATACAGAAGGTCCAACCACGTTCCATAAAGCACCAAATCCATCTAGTCCCAGAGCTTTCATATAACCCATCGATTTCACTGCATGTATCTCTGTGTCATCTATATCTCAAGTGATGCAAAATATCTTCATCCAGAAAGCGGCAGTTACAGCTACACTCCAGTTGAGAATGCGATTGTCTATCGTTCGTGAAGAGAGAAGTGAAAAAAATCAATGGTCCTAATTTTTTACTCGTCTTCTTCATAAGCCCATGTTCCCTCATTGTTGCATAGAGCCCTTACTCTATTTGCTTTGTGTTTGCTGTTCGCCAACGAGTGAAAATATTCGTGAATTTTGATTCCATAAAGTGCCCAGTTACTTCGCGATTTTTGGGCTCCTAAGATGCTTTCTTGAAGCAAGACTTTCTCAAGCTCCCCCATAGGTGCTCTTAAAGCTTTTCCAAGGGGTTTTTATTGCCACCATCTACTAAAGCTCGATTGATTCATTCCAATCTTCTTATAAGCTCCCCCTTCTGCCTTTCCATGTGACCAAATACCTCCCTATTCCAAGTCTTGCACTGTTTAGTGAAACAAGAGATCTGTACCTGCCACAGGGCTTCATAACGCCAAGACTTTTGAACAAAATCATCAAACTTCTCATTAAGTATCCAGGAGGCTATAAACCAGAATGGCCAAGAGGACGGTCCCTGTTCCTGATACTTCTAAGTTAGGCAAAGCAACAGTGGCCGATGATCAGATTTCTACCAATGAAGGTGCATAACTGATCCTCTCAGGAACGCTTCAAGCCATATTTCTAGAACTTGTTTAAGGTTTATATATTCTTTCAATAATTTCTTACATATTTGAGTAGAATTTCAATATTGAAAAAGATATCACCACTAAGCACTTGAATAAGCCAGTAAGAGTTGGTCCAGTTTCAAGTCTTGAATACGTAACAGTGATTAAATTCTTAGTGAGAGGTATGTTTAAAAAAAAAAAATACCATCAATTGCCGATCAGATTAATTTAAATCAAAGACTTGGTGTACCCAAGCTCACTCAAAATAAGAAATCTAATTTTTAATAAATTTCAAAGTATTAAATACTTTCAATCTTAAGCTTGTTTAATATATAGATACTTATATATAATTATAAAAAAATAACAAAATTTAATTTATAAATCGAAATATATGATTATTTGTTGTGGCTTGGAAAAATTACACTGAAAAATTTGAACGAATAAATATTTACAATGAACTTTAAAAATTACATTTATTTTTAAAAACACAAACATCAAAGACGTGCGTGGGTTGCAACAACCAAAGTATGCCCCCTTCGGCTCTCTTATTCGTATTTATCTTTTTTTTTTTTTTTGGTAATCCTCCCACCTCCCTTCTCTCTCACACACCCATACATCCATCTTCCAATATCAAATTTTAAGTCTAGAACAACGATAAATAATTTTAGTAAAAGAATTGAAAAGAATAAAGTTAAATGGAGCTTTCGAGAGACTCATACATTATTTGAAAATAAAACAATATTTATTAATAAAATCCAAAGAAAATCAATGTAACTTATTCAATAACAAATCATCACTTATTCAACTGGCAAGACCCTAATCATTATTAAGTAACCAATGATCGGTGCATAAATATACATGGAAATAAGACCCCCTTCACAAATTCTTTATAGCTGTATAAGCTGAAATATGAATGTCACAGCATTCTCCATCCCATGAGAAGTCCTTTGTCATTGCTTCATTTATTCTTCGTTCCCACTTGGATGGATTATCCCTCTATGAGCATATTAAAAAAAAGTCAAGGATTTATAAGATATGGCCCATCATGATGTACATGGATTCATATATATATATATATATAGAGAGAGAGAGAGAGAGAGGCTAGTGGAAAAAGGAAAAACAAAATGACATACAATTTCACCAACGGCAAGGTCAAGAGACATGTTTCCAAAGGTGGAGTTGATGAACAGCGAGTACTTGGTGGTCTCGTGATCAATATTTATGAAGTTCCTGTTAATTAGGATCCAATAAATAAGGAGAAAAGAAATCATTCATCATTATTATTTAATTGATATTCAACGGAAAATGGTTACCTGTTGGCAGCAGCATCATGGTCAACTACTATTGGAGCTGCTCCATACCTTAGAGCCTTGAGCTACACACAGCATTAAAAAGTTGAAAGATCATAAAACATGAAAACGACCATAGTAAACGAATTCGTTTCATCCAAGGCACATGACCACCCACTTATGACAGAAACATGTTATAGTAGATTAGACATGAATGGGAAATAAGTTAAATCATCAAACCCACAAACCAGAAAGAGATAAGACCCCATATTAAGCCGCATGCTGCATTACCAGTCTACAACGGAAGCCAAGTTGATGGAGGGTGACACAGCCTTTCTCAAGTACCCACATAAGATCAAAGAAAGAGAAAAAAATGGAACAAATAGCATTATGTCCGTATCTATATTCTGAGAATCAGAATAGCAAGGAGCATAATCTTCTTGAAGAAACTTCAATTTCTAACAGAAGTAAACTGCTGTCTTAAAGATGAAACGGTTGTAGTTCATGTATGTCTAGCTTAAGCTTCAAATAATTGAAGGAAAAACACTACTTAGAGGGGAAGGGATGCACTTACTGGAACTTCTTCAGCAGGATCATGAGAATGGCACAAAATAATATCAGATCCAGCAAAGATAAATGCAATAAAGCCTCATCATATGTGAGCACAAATTTCAGATTTTCATCCTGCAGATTTTGAAAGCAAAAGTAGATATCATCACAAGATGAGGCAAAATGTTCATTATGCTAGATAATGATCTATCACATTATACTTCCAGGGTTCCAGGCAGATAAAAACTGATACTCAATTCTTTCCTTAATAGCATATAGCACCCAATTACAACAAATAAGATGAAAACGAAAACAGTGCAGGAGATACCTTTAATTCTTTCTGAAGCGATTCCAGTGGCTGATTAAAGATGAATCTTTCACTATTCCCCATAAATACAATCTGAAGATAATCAACAAACATTTACCTTTAGTCTGAGATCCTCTCAGAAAATATCTTTCCCACAGATTTAGTTTATACAATATTTACTAGCTTATGTTGCTCATAACGTGTTTTTCATCATGAAAGTATTAGCTCTATAAGCAAAATTTCTACTTCAGACCAGTAAATTTTATAGCATTCTTCTAACTTTGGATGTTCCTTTTAAATACCAACAAGGAAAAACTTTCAGTTACGGCTTATGAGCAATGCGCAACTCAGCTTGTGAGGCAAATAGTACAAGTTCTGTAAGAGTAACAACCTGAACATTGCGTTTCACAGTGTTCCAGACAACCTCCTTCAGTTTGTTCACATCAATGTCTACGCCTTCTGAAAAAATGCATCCAACCTGATAAACAATTTCGAGAACAAAAAGACAAGTAAAACCAAGTATAGAGAAATCATCAGTTTCATGACTTATATGGAAGATTAGTTATCGTCTGTAAGAGACTGCTCTAAGAAAATCTTGAAAAGGCAGATAAATGAAAAGGAAAATACAGAATTACAGCAATATCAGAAATATTTTTAGGGGTCGTTAAATTTAACATGTACTTATGTGTTAAGGTATATAACCACGCAAGCAAAATATTTCTGATGACTGTATAAATGTTCAACAGTTAAGTATCCATCCAACGCCAATAAAATACACAAGACAAACACATCAAAGGCCATTCTTGCTGAACACCAGGACGCAGTGTTCACATAGAAGTCAGATAATAGTAGATTAATCATTAACCACACAGCTTCGTTATCTTGAAGAAAATTAACGTCAAGGGTGCTTTCTTGTCAACGTATGAAAATACATTCCAGATCCTAGGCTTTTGCTAGATCAGAACTATGCAATCCAATCTCCAGGGGCATCGGGTTGGTGGCAATCATCTATTTAGATCTTGCAGAGTAAATGTCAAATTTAGATATATTTTTAAAATGTAAAATATGAACTGCTTGATTTATTCATTGTCATTTTCATTTTGTCAAAGAGACGGCATGCTGCATTAACTTGATAAATATACATTATTTGAAATTCAGATTGATCAAAATCACATCTTAGGAACATCATTTGATGGAAGAAATGGAATTTTACTAAAACTGTTCGTTATCAACTTTTATATTTTTGACTTGAGGATAAGACTAAAAAGAGACCACAAGTGAGATACATACAAGAACATTAGAAGCATCTTTTGATAACTCCAGGCGCTGCTGCACTTCAACTTTGCAAACGGCTTTACCTTCCATATTTTCAGCATTAAAATTTTCAGGAAGAAAACAGTCAGTTGAAGGATCCCATGTTAATTTGTCAAATCCATAAGGAGCAATGACCAACTTGTCCCTACAACCATATATGCAAACACAACTACGTTACTTTTTGAGGGGTGGGCTTCAGTACAAAGCCATATTAATTCAATATTATAAGGGGTATCATCGTATCATCTTTAGAAGACAAAAAATCATACAATAGGTCATATGCTAACATGCTATGTCAACAACTTCATGGAAATATAATTTGAAGGAAGACAGTGAGAGACAAAATAACCCCTCGTAGGACATTAAAGTATTAAACAAGATTGGGGAATGTTGTGATACAAGGATAGAATGCTCACCTATGAACACCTAAAGTTGATTCTAGTCCGTGACTTGAACTATGAAGAATTCTGTGCTTTGAATGGACGGACGACATTATTACCACACCATTAGAGTAGACAATTCCACCCTGAAAATTTGCACAAACTGATGATTCGATGTTGGAAAGTGATGGGCCTGTTAGTAATGGGCCAAAGCCCACTCACATGAAGTGCGCAGGGTGTGTGAGGTGCATGAGAAAGTGGGTCTGTTGTTGGTTGGGTATACATGGGGAGTGAGGTTCAGGGAGGGTTTAGCCAATTAGTGAGATGTGTGTGGAGAGCCTCTAGTCTTCGTATACCAGAAGAACGTGTTCTCTGTGTGCTTGTATAGTATTTACTGCTTATCTTCAGTATTTGAATATCATTTGTGGCTTCGGTCCATTAGAAAGCTAGAAGTGGCTTGGACTGGAGCTTTCAAACAATTAGACTTCGCCATACAACATATGGTGATATCCAAAAAGTGAAAAATGCTGCTAGAAGGGTAACAATAAGAAAAGAGTAATTTGTTCTAAAGATTTAAATTTGACGTTCCTTGAGAGGGAAATGATCACATTAATTAAATCAGCAGGCGGAAGAAAGTAAAATAGTCACACACACACTCTTTTTGTTGGGTGAAAATACTTACTTGAAACATATAAAATCAACCTGTTCAATGTTTTAAGCATTATATGTAAGATAATTCTAATGACATTTTACTCTTTGACCAATGCATATGATGATGGCGAGGTCCTCATTCTTCCAGATTGAACCTAAGGCACTTTTTCATATTTATCCCTTCTCAAATGAATGATCACTCTGTTACAGTGTCACAATGTGTTGGTAGCGGCAAGAACATAATTAGATACAGCGTGTCATAGCATGTACAAATACCAAATTAGCGTAATGAGAACTCAGAACTCGGTCTTTGTAAAAAGATGCCACAATCATGAACATCATTGTGGCATAAATTTCTCATCTTTAACAATTTTCCCATTACCATTCAACATTCCCATTAACCAAAACAAAACAACATTCAAGCATTGTTCCACTCCTTCAAAGTATTCACATTAATTAATAATTACTACTTTACATTGATCAAACCCAATGACTACAATGTATATATAATTTGTATGCCGATATCTGAAATGGGAACTACAATGGTTGTCTTGACTTAAGAATAATTATCAAGTTGATACACTAGCCCAATATGCTCAGTTTCCTAAGAATCTTTTACATTAAAAAAACACCAACAGAAAGCTAAGGCTAGAAAACAATGTCTTGGAAACTTTTCATTCACCATCATGGGACAATTATAGAAAGTGTGGGCAGGGAGAAGATAAAAGAGGTTCAACAGTAACAAGCATAGTAGCGTACCTTTAATATATTGACAAGGTGTGTGCTTGTATTATCTTGCAAACGATCAGAACGATGGAGGCTTGCAGGATCAAGCCCACATAAGGCCAATTTATCTGGATGCTCCAGACACTAAAATATATATTGCACGTTCTTTGGTTATTAGATGGCACAACCAAATAAAAACATAATCCAGTAGTAAATTATGTTAAAAAAACCTAGGATGGAAATAAGGTTAAGACTTGATTAACCTAACACAGAATAAAAGACAAGAGGGGAATATATATAACTTGCCTGCATACTTAAGTCCTGGCACGTCAGTAATATTTTTGCACCCTCCAGACCCTAAACAAATTAAATAATAGAATATTGCAAACAATCTTTTCCAAGCTAGGTCAATAGCCAAAATTAAAGGACAAGCCAAAAATGATAGGTTCAATTAGCTTATCCCATTATGAGGTTTTCTGCCCTATTCAAGGTACTTAAAAAAATTACAAGTACTTAAAATTAAAAATTTGAGAACAGGCACCTGTTTAAGAATTAAGTCCCAGAAAAGGGGCCCAACAATGGCAGTCTCCCAGTTATGTATATGCAAAATATCAGGTTTCTTTCCACATTTTACTATATAGTCAAGTGAAGCACGAGAAAAATAGGAAAACCTGATAGCACAAGATAACGTATCAAGATTAATTACAAACATATACAACATACCAAGTAAAAACATCTTGAATCAATTCACGAAAAAAGAACATCTTGATTTGGTCAAATTCCACTTTCTTGTCATCCTAACCAGAGAGTAAGTTGCTATTGCTGATCAAACTATCAGATTGTTAGAGTTTCCTTTTGACTTCTCTTTCTGTCTGAAGATAGTTCAGGAACACAATGCAGTCAAAAAGGATTCCAAACCAGCCTTAACTTCCCATTACATGTAATCAAGTGACATGTTTGAATGCGTTTCTTCCCATTACCTTCTATTAGTTAAATCAAACTATTTTCTGCACTATGTCAATTTATTTTGTTATAATTTCAACAAATTAATATTTGCTATTAGTTATAATAGTGTTTTGAAAAGGATGAATAACGCCCATTCTGGAAGTGACGCAAAATTCAAGTTTCAGTTTGAATATTCTTCTGTTTCCGTCAAGTCACATAAGCTGAAAGAATCACCTTTCAGATTCACGTGGTTAGCCAATACCATTTATCCTTGACATAAACCTTAACATAGAAATGATTCTGATGTGCCACAAGGGAAGATGAAAAGCTTATGGACCAGTTACCAGGGATGCAATCTCACTTGCCTTTCAAAATCATCAGGGTAGCCATATATCATTTCGCGGCTGAAAAGGGATAAGCACTGTAATGGCTCTATCAAAGTGACTCCAATGCCACGAACAACACTATCACATATTCAGGTAAGTATAAACCATTAGCAGATTTTAAACACGTGTAAGGTGGCCTCTATCTCTGACTTCTTTCACAAGCTACTAACATCCAGTTGTATGAAAACTCATGATCATATTAAAAAAATGCCAAACTAACCCAGTCCAAGCTCTGTTTCCAAGTACTTGACCATTAAAATATGAATAAGCCTCAGCCTTAACTTCATGCAGCCCTTGCACTTCATCTAGATTCAAACAAGCATACCTGTGTGAAAGTTAATACAGTCAAGGTGAGGATCAGAAACATCAGGTTGTAATCAGACTCATATTAGAGCAAATGACAAAAAAAAGCTTTTGAACAAAGAAAAAAATTTATCTAGAATATGCGCAAAATTTTCAGCAGGCATCTAAGAAATTTTAAAGAATCAAGGAACAAAAAAATGACTTCTCTTTTTTACTTCGGCAATATGACTTCCACCAGATGACCCTTCCTTTGCAGAGCACAAGATATGCCAGTCACGTATGATGCTATAGATCCTCTGGAGACTAATGGTGCCATTTCCGTGCAAATGTGAACAATATGAAAAGCATTCCTGAAGAAATTGACCAAACAAAAAATAACAATCAGATTCTAAGAATCTTTATGAAAAGGGAAAGTGGGGAAAAAATAAGAAAAGAATACCTATGGCCAAAACAAATTCTTGCAGTAGTAATTTTAAATTATTAAGACAACATAACTAATCATATGATACTTCAGAAGACTTTCCCAAATAAGCCACCAAATGATGGAAGAAAAATTCCCAAACATGTCTAGACATGAATTCAGTATCATATCATACTCTAGGCTTTATATAGTAGTCACATTCTTTGTTATGTTTTAAGGTTCAGATATTCTTGCTTGATGTTTCTCAGTGATTTGCATGAAAGGTATGCCAGTTTAACATGAAATGGATGGCAATTTTGCAATAAGCTTCAGCAAGTTTGACATATCAATATATACTTTATAATATCATTAGTTATGGGGATAACATTAAAGAATGAAGCTAGTAAACATTAGATTTACTTTCTGCTGCTGTCTGAGAATTGACGAAGTTCTTCCAAAAGCTCAGAGTCTCTTCTTCCAGGGATGTCAGTAAAAATATCAGCCACACTCAATTTGTGCTTTATCACCAACCTTCTCAATTCAGATGCCTCTCCAGGAGAAATCATGTTGGTTAAAACCATTGAATCAATCCGAAGCAGCAACTCCCAACAAATTGACAGGTTGTCTGTGTTGGCAAAACGTATAGTGCAACTAATCAACTAGTGAAAAAGTAAAGACTGCTTAACTAAGAAAAATACATTACTTATCTCATCAAATTGTTTGTAAATATGAACAATACAAAGGCTCTTGCAACCTACTTTATATATAATAGTTTATCAGCAATACATATACTGCATTTAAGATGGATGATATTGCATTATCAAAAGAGGAAAGACAAATGCAAGAGCATACACATGCCCCAACCATTCCCTCAAGCACACAAAATCAAGTTGTCCCTCAAGCACCGGATTATTTCTTTGCCAAACCAGATCCCTAGGGATGGCTGATATGGGTTTTTTGCCAGGTTGGGGTTTTGGAATTTGATCTCTCTGACCTATAGTTATGGAGAGATTTACTTTATTCAGGCCAGCTACTTGAGTATATGCTTTGGATTTTAAACTGAAAAACTAGCATACTTGTGAATGTTACTAATTCATCATTGTTCAATGGAACCAACTAATTGTAAAATTGCGAGATAGCATGAGTGTCAGCAAAAAAGAAAATGTTAAAGAAACAAATAATATGTATCGGTCTATTCATCAATGATACATGACAAGGTAAAAGCACAGCCGCAAAATATCACCTTTTCCAGAACCAGCATGCTTTTCTGCTTCCAATTTCTCTAACATGTTGAGCAGCAACAGCTTTTCTGTGTTAGTTTGTTAAGTTCCTCTGTGGCTGCAAGGCGTTGTTTGTTTAAGTACAGAATGTCTGTGTATACAAGAAAACTCATCAAAGTTAGAAAACACTTCAATATAACGCACCAGTAACACAAAGGTGGATTCCCCACGCACACCCCCCACCCAAAAAAGGGGGGGAAGGAAGAATGGAAAGACACCGACAAGAATTATTAATGGAAAATCAAATTAAGCCTGGGAAAGAACTGACTTTGCTGAGCTTCTCTGAACAACTTCCAAATATGATGGTGTTTCGCATCCTGATCATCTTCAGTTAGCTAAAATATTGGGAGGAAATACGCAATGAGTAACTTGTTAAGTAAGGGAAGACGCAAGAGATGTGTAAACTACACCATATCGTAGGCAAGACCATATACCTGCATCTTAACCACGTTATTTGTGCCTTGAAAACTGAGATGCATGTCGATTAAAAATTAGAAGAGGACTAGTCCCAGTAGTATCGGCTAAAATATAAAACAAAAATGTTATATTATTGGATAAATGTTAAAGAAAGCAAAACTCTTACCGTTGTTCACCTTGGCGATTGTCATCTCCATTACTTCTGAAAAATATTACATGAATAACAGGCCAAGTGAATTCACCCACTATCAATCCATTATTTCTATTTAATATACCTTCAATCAATGACAAGTTGAATTTCACCCAGTATCAATAATCAATGCAAAAATGATGACCTATGAGCCACACATATCAAGCTTCAAAATTGCATTATAACAAGTCAAGCTTTTAGTAAATAACAAGAGATTTTAGATCAAAACCATCGCTCTGTCATGTACCAGTATGTTGCATTACGACCACACCACACTCAACTTTTCCCAGAAAAACACAACCAACACCAATGCTTCTAACTTCAAATTCATATTGTTAAGGAGAGAAACAAACATGCTAAAATGAGATGGTTGTGAGCTTGAAGTCTGATTACTCAGCTTTCAAGCAACATTCGAAGGGTAGCACAATTCAAGGGTCTCACCTCAAACAACGTAGTGGCAGACCAGCAATGGGTTTTCGGAACGAGGTGCTGGTCCTTCTGGTTCTAGACGTTGGAATGCAACGAAGTGAAGGAACCCCGGTCCCTGCGTTTACCAATGTCCCCATTTATTGTCTTCATACACAGAGATAGAGAGGAAAAGAACGAGGAAGCTGCACTGGTATGACTTTCCCGCTCGGGATCACTAGTCTCATGACGATATAGCTATGGCATCCATATCCACGATACCAGTATTAATTATTAATGGTAATATCTTCACAAAAAAAGAAAAATAAAAACAAATTGCCTTCATCACGGAAAAGGGACTGTATTCTGCACATGTAGCAGTAGCAGCAACGGGGCAAAATTCCAGGGGGAATTTCCATATTTTTCGGTAAAGATGAAAATTTTCTATACAGTAGCTTCGCTCCATGGCAAGCGCTTACTGGAGGTTTCTTCTGCAAGTTTAATGATTATCCGTCCATATCACCATTGACATGAGCCGTGGATTTTTGTTTTAGTGTCAACAACTCACTCACAGACTAGTTGAATTATATGTTTTCTTAGACTTTAAGTAAAAAAAAAATAGTGGAAATTAAAAGTGGAACGAGAAACGTGCGTGAAAGAATCATGGGATTCTCACCTGCTCAAGAAGAATGATAGAAATCAGAAGCTAATAAACATTGCGGACTTGAAGAATAACAACAATGGAATAACTATCATAAAATGGTAAGTTTAAAATTTAAATATTCTGCGCCAAAAAATAAAATAAAATTCATAAAATAGTTTGAAGTAAAAATAAAAAATTGATTACGGTAAAAGATATCTGTAATTATAGTCATAATTCATATCCATATTAAAGAACATTTTTCCAAATAATTAAAAAGAGAAAGTAAAATATGACTTCATCTTTTCGAACAATGTGAAAAACACTTAATCTTGCTTGAATAACTTGAAGGTTCAAATTTTATGAATAAAAAAAATCATTAAAAAAACCTCCAATTTAATGTAATAACTAATAACGATGCTTGAATCTTTCACTAAATTACCAAATACTCGACACTTGTAGAAGGAAAAAAGTGGCTTTATTTTTTAGGTTAATTTACATGATCCTAAAAATTCATTTAGATTCAAAATTAATTCGATATGAAAATTGTAACTGGCATAGATTTTCCTGAAAGATAAGTTATCGAGGAAATTTAGTTCATGTCGTTGTCCGTTTTCTTTTGTGGGCATGAATGCCGTTGATAAAAGGAAATGTTACCATTTGAACGTCATTCGCCTGTTTAAGTAAACACATTTCACCGGCAGTTTTGAATTTAGCCCATCATTTGCATTCGAACATTTATAACAAACTCAGCTTCATTCCACAACATTCTTTTTCTGTTAATCCTTCCAGGATGCCCAGTAATTTTAAGCCACAATTCGTCTGCCCACAGAACATGTGCTTATTGCATGATAATTATGGAAGAGTAGGAAGTCTGCCCACCCTTTAAAAGTAGTTACTCCTACAATCCTGACTAATACTATTGGGACCTTACTAGCAATGGTGAATTCTCGGCAGCTTCTGCATACAAATCAACCTAAGAACCCCTTTGGAAGTGAAGCACCACAGCCATGGAGTTTGATCTGGAAATGGCCTGGGTGCCTAGAGTCAATACTTTCCTTTGGTTATCTGAGAAGAACCGCCTGCTCACCAATGCTGAACGAGTTCGACAAGGCTTACCATCAAATGCCTCGTGAAGCTTGCAACAAAGCTGTTGAAGATGTGGACCACGTCCCGTATAGATGTAACACAGCCAGACTTTGTTGCATAATGCTAGTCCCACAGCATGCAGCCTCTACCTTCTTCAGCAAGCCTTTTGAGGAGTGGTTACATTGGAACCTCAACCACGCATCATGAGGACTCATTGGAGACTCAGCTTCAGTGTTGTGGCATGGAAACTTTGGACCAACATGAATAAAGAGAATACTTACCGATGAAATCATCACTCCCCATTGTATTGTTAGATCAGCCTATGACTTAGTTTATTATGATGTTAAAGCCCATGGGATTCCTTCAATCTCTGGACCATGAGGCTTAGCGTGTTTCTTTTATAAACTCTTGTTCCGCTTGTATATTTTGTCAATATAATTCCCTTTTCACTCAAAATAAATTAAAGGGTTTACGGTAGAATTGGAAGATTGGAAAGGTAGCCAATGGTGTTGTAATCTAATGACATGTAAACTCTCATATAAGTAAGAGGTCATAGGTTTGATCTTGTTACTTCAAGCCATAAGTGCCTGCCCCTCTAATTCAAAGAAGGAGAAGAAGGCTCTTATAAGTTGCCACAGTGATCATCTTTAATCATCCCCACCTTTAGGCTTAGACGTGGTGGATGATGAAAGTTAATCTTTGGATCCTTGCCTTATAAATTGTTTGGTTACCATTTGCTCTGAATGAAGTTTTCAGTCTTCAGTCAAAAAAATATCGCAACATGCATGCATCCCCTGCGCCTACACAGGGACGTCTTTCCCACCTAGATCAAAAGAATTATTAGAACAAGGGGAGCGGATTTTTTTTTCCCCCTGGGTAACAAGGGGCAACAGATTTCTACTCAATTGGAAGAATTGATTAAATACCATTCGAACGGGCATTAAGGAGGAATGTCTCTAATTATACGGATTACAAATGGGGAAGTCAAGGGAAGATATGGTGTTAATGATTGGCAAGCTTACGCTTCTTTAACTTGGCAATTCGACTTCTCCGTTCTCTTTCTTCCTCCTCCTCTATCAATCGGAGTTGCTCTTCATCCTCCCTCCTAGCAATTTTGGCACTGTGGATATCACCAAAAAGAAATATAGATCAACCACCAGAAAAATCCATGATTACCGAGGACAGCAAGCCAGAAATTAGAAATACAAAGGTGATCGATCCATAACTTTGCAAGGTTCTTTATATTATGGTCGCATTTGGTAGATGGCAAAGTGAATTTTTGTAGAAAAAGGTTTCCTATGTTATGAGAGAGCTTTTTCATTCCTATTTTATACCAAACACATGTTGCGGTAGGTCTTAAAGTGAGAGCAAATGGAGCAGTAAATATCAACTTAATGATTAAAGAAACATACCTCCTTCTTTCCTCCCTCATGATGTCATCAAAGCCTGCCTCCATATTCATATCATCCTCGTCATCATCAGCAAATTTGTTGGGGTTTGTAGCTGCAAAATATTCAGCAAATTTATTAGAAAAAGTGACTAGATTTGCAGCAGAATGACCATCACCACACTGAAATTGAGAGCACTTCCAACCAGACATCAAACACCAGGAACACACCCTAGTAAAAATACTTTGATTACAATGACTCTCCTTTAAGGAAAAAACATGTAAAAGATCAGTGAATGTAGACTGGAATTTTAAAGTTTCAGCTAAAGTCATCAGCAGACTAAAAGGTGAAAAAACGTCGGTTCAAAAAGAAAACAATGAATGAACGAAAGAACACAGCCTAACCCAGAAATCCTTTGACATCTACAAGTATGTTATCCATCACAACCAAGGGCTATCCACCAACTCCCAAATACTAATCACACAATCCACCAAGAAAGATCTGTAATAATTTGGTTCCATCCGGATTTATCAAAAACATGCAAGGAAATCAAGGATAATAGCAAGTTGATTAAAAACTGGCAACACTTACTGAAACATTCTTCTGATCATGCTAATAGCCCTTTGACCCTCATCGTCGTCATCGTCATCAAAGGGCCGTCTTACAGGCTTCTTCTTGGGGCGTTGATCTTGGATTGGACGTTGTGTTGTAACCTGTGTAGGTGGCTTTGATTTCTGTCGGGGAAAAAAAAATGTAAGAAATATTGTCTTCAATAAGAAGCTAAAATTACATGTACATGAACAAGCACACAGCATCACAAACCTGAGGAATAGAAGGTGCCACCGGCTGTTTGGGCATCATTTTAGGCTTTTCCCTAGCATCTTTTCTTTGTTCCACACTCTGCTTTGAAATAGATGAATGAGTTTTTGAAACGGGTGGTTTCTGAACAGCATTTACATGGCCTTTTATACCAGTCACCAAAGACTTATTGCTCATGGTACCAACAGGTGTCTTTGGAGGCAAGCCTTTCAGTCCCACAGGCCGGCCAGGTCCATTCACACTGTTGTTTCCAAGCTGTTTTCTTGAATCTGCTGATGCCATACTAGGCTTACTGCAAGAAGCTAACTTATTACCGGACCCCACTTTAGGAAGTAATTGGCCACCTGCAGAACCTAGTTTTCTGTCCTCACGACCACCATTAACATGCTTGCCACCACTGCTTAAAGGCTGCTTATTCCTTCCTTGTACTTGAGCTGGCCGTGCATCTTCAAGATCAGCAAAAAACCTGTATAAGTTTTCTCAATCATAATAATGTTTAGACCCCCAACAAACATCCCATATAAACATGATCCCAAGCAGCATTGTACCAGAACATCTGGAGGCATATTCCTGGGTGGAGGCTCTTTTGAAGGAGCTGGAAGCTCTGCATCATCAGACAAAAGAAAGGAATAATCTCTTGTATCCTTAATTTTCTGTGCTTTAAGCTTCACCTGCATTACAGAGGAATTGACCACCATCACTTAGCTATCCTAGATGCTAGTTTTATATTAGAATTTCAAAATAATAGCTTCAATACCTCACTGACTTTGGGTAGCTGATTATGAACTGCAGATTTTGATCCCCCATTAGATACTTTGTTTTTGTTTTTGTTCTGTAGACAAAATCATAGTTAGAATACTGACGCACCACATAATATGAAGCAAGAAATATATTAAAAAACATTTAGGTTTTGCATATGTTACCATCAATAAAGTGCATCGTGATAGGCATGAGGTGACAAAACTTATGATAACAACAATTTGGAATGATACAAGAAACTCTGCACTATATACACCTATTTTGCCTAGGTATACAGGTGATGACTTCCCATATTTAATAACATTTGGGGTATTTTTGGGAGTACCTGGGGAGCCAAAACTACAATTTCATGTGCTTGATTAATTTTCTAAAGAAAATAAATCATTGACATTTAGCGTATTGCTCGTAAAAAATTGAACAATTGCTGAAAATCATGGTTTAATCATACATTTTTTTCACTAGTCTTTATGGTATTTGTGGAAATAGTAAAGCGTCCAAAGCAAAAGAAAGATGTCCAGGACAGAAAAAATAAGTTAAACTGTATTTGGTGCCAAGACCGTGTCTTGTGAAGCCACAAAGCCTGTGGCTAATTTTGTCCAGAGAAATGCTTTCTGGTGCCATGGCCACAGCATTGGCATTGCAGCTTAGCTGAAAATCCTAAAGGGAATTAGCATTGGCGCTGTAACAGTAGCACTTGTTCAATGGCTGCTGTTCTCCCTTCCCTTCCTCTTTCCCTAATCATACCCACCCAAGGGACAACGTGCCATTTACCATGAGAACAAGATGGCCAACATACCACAGGGATCAATTCATGAATATGCCCAACAGAAATGAGTCACAATGCATAGAAGTAATTACAATAGATTGAAAGTTGAAGCAATCAAATACAATAACAACAACAACAACAACAAGCCTTTATCCCACTATGTGGGGTCGGCTACATGGATTGCAAGACGCCATTGTGCTCTATCATTTATCAAACTTTTAGAAATACTATTAATTAAGAGATCACGTTCAACAACTTCCAAGAGTGTTCTCTTAGGCCTTCCTCTACCTCTCTTAATCGGACTCAAAGTTATATGTTCCACTCTTCTCACTGGTGCCTCCCTTGGTCTTCTTTGTACATGCCAAACCATCTCAACCGATTTTCTACCAATTTTTTCCTCAATAGGTGCCACCCTCACTTTTTCACGTATGTGCTCATTTCGAATTTTATCTTTACGTGTATGTCCCACATCCATCGTAAACATTCTCATCTCTGCTACTCCAACTTTATGCTCTTGCTGTCCCGTTAGAGCCCAACATTCACTACTATATAACATTGCCGGTCTGATAGCAGTACGATAAAACTTTCCTTTAAGTTTATTAGGCACCTTACGGTCACAAATAACTCCTTTAGCTTTTCTCCAATTAAAACCACCCAGCTTGAATTCTATGTGAAATATCTCCACTGATTTCGCCATCATTTTGAATAATGGCTCCCAATATCTAAACTTTTCACTTGAGGTATAATTTGATCTCCCAATTTCATTTCCAAATTATTTTCGAATAGTCCTTTACCAAATTTACAATATAAATATTCCGTCTTACTTCTACTCAGACGAAAAACCTTTCGACTCCAATGTCCTCCTCCATAACTCAAGTTTGCAATTAACCTCTTCTCTTGTCTCTGCTATAAGAACTATATCATCCGCGAAGAGCATACATTTCGGGATTTCCCTCTTGAATATGTTCCGTCAAAACATTTAAAATCAAGTTGAACAAATAAGGACTCAGAGATGATCCCTGATGTAGTCCAATCTTTATAGGAAAATCCTTTGTTTGACCACTAGGCGTTCTTATACTAGTTTTTACCCCCTCATACATATCTTGTATGGCTTTAATATAAGCAATCCGTACTCCCTTTTTTTCCAACGCTTTCTAAAGCACTTCTCTTGGTATACGGTCATAAGCTTTTTCCAAATCAATAAAAACCATGTGTAGATCTTTATCTTTACAACGATACTTTTCCATTAATCCCCTTAGTAGATAAATCGCCTCTGTAGTTGATCTACCTGGCATAAAATCAAATTGATTCTCAGAAATACTTGTCTCCAATTTCAACCTGTGCTCAATTACTTTCTCCCACAATTTTATTGTGTGGCTCATGAGTTTAATCCCTCTATAGTTAGTACAATTCTGAATATCTCCTTTATTTTTATAAATAGGAATTAATGTACTTCTCCTCCACTCATCAGGCATTTTCTTGGACCGTAAAATCACATTAAATAACTTAGTTAACCATCTCACCCCTTCTTCACCTAAACATTTCCATGCTTCGATAGATATACAATCAGGTCCGTTGGCTCTACCATTTGCCATTTTCTTAAGAGCTTCCTTTACCTCCTTATCACGTATTTTTCGATAGAATGACAAATTTTGTTCTCCTTCACCAGTTACTAAATCCTCCAAGTTACTAGATGAATCCTCTCCATCATTGAAAAGTTTAGAAAAAATAAGTCTCCCATCTATTTTTAATTTCATCATCTGTAACTAAAATTCTTCCCTCTTCATCCTTAATACACCTTACCTGTTCTAGATCTCTTGATTTTCTTTCCCTACTCTTGGCAATCTTATAAATATTTTGCTCTCCTTCCTTCGTCTCAAGGTTCTTATAAATTCTTCAAAAGCTTTAGAACGAGCTTCACCCACAGCTCTCTTAGTTTCCTTCTTAGCCATACGGTACCTCTCCCAATTTTCCTCATTGTTACACAA